TTGAAACTACTAGTATTTCCTATGAATGATAACTGAAGTAAATTAACACAAAAAATTTTTAATGTCAAAATTGCTTTATTTGAATATACCCCAAACAAGTACTTCTTTAATAAAGAAAGTCAAATTGAAAAAATATTTCGATAAATAGTACCAAATCATTATTCATTTCTAATTATCCAAATTTGATGATGATATTCGTTTGCATTTCTGAAATTCTGTCAACTAATGAAGATACTTATTTGAAATGTTTTAGAGTATCGGGAAACTTTCCGGCTTGATTTGTAATATCTTAGAAACCTTCCAAGTTGATAGTGAAACTTATTTTGCAGCAATAAAATTGCTGCAGGCATTTTCTTTTCAGAGAAAGAATAACTTTATCCTCAAACTGTCGAGTTTCGAAAAAAAAAATTTTTTTCAAAACTCTCGTCCTCTCCCAACTTACAACTATGCGCTTCCAAACAACAATTCAGACCTATTCTAACTAAATTTTCTGCAACCGTTTTTAAAGAACGACAATCAGGTGATCAACTCTAACTCTATGTTGTTTTATAATTAAAATTAAAAAAAACCTTCTTCAGTTACGGACCTCTTGCCAATTCGTTATTCCACAACAAAACATTTCCATTACAACATACACTTTGTACTCTCACTAGCACCCAGTTACTACTTCAAACATTTCTATGGAAATCAAACTATTTTCAAATTATTCATTAAAAATTAAAGAAAAAAAAAATTAGAAACGAGGAGTATTTTTTGGCAATCAAGGCAGTATTTTTTGATAAAGATATTTTAATCGTAATTAGTTATATCACAGTATATTCGGCAAATATTTCGGGAAAGTGAGATAGTAATTCTTTTTTCAGCTCGACTAGTTGCAATGAGTCAAGTCAACAGCTATACTTTTAACTGGAGTTACAGAATGCAATTTTAATTACAAAATTTTTATGAAAATGTCTTAAAATAATCACATCGCATTATCTTGCAATAAGTCTTTTCTCTTTAATTCATTCTATCATTTACCAGCCTCCCATTTCAAATGAAAGAATACAAACTGATTACTCAATCATAGTATCCATTATCTGTCTATTATTCCCGATCTTATTCCTCACCAATAAAAAAATTTACTTATGCTTTCTCTGCATAAAAGTGTATAAATCAAATTAATAAGTCAAGTTAAAACAATTTAAGACAAAAATAAAAAACTTAAACAATTGAAAATTTGGATTTACCGCCTATATGTTCTAAAAAAGACAAAAAAATCATTACATGGATAGAAGAGGAAGATGACCGCAACTTTTTTTTCGGAGTTTTTTCAATTATACTTTCGGAACTGCATGACGCAATCGAGTCACTATCACAATCACTTGCTTCTCGCTGAAAAAAAAAAAATTAAGTGTAGTGCAATCAAGATTACTTGTTCCGGCCATTTTATACCTTTCTCCCCAATTTGAAACAACATTGAATATTGAAGGAAAAATGCATTTCCAGATTTTAAAAATCTGATAGCAAAAGTAACTAACCTTGCTATTTTACTGGTGAGGTCAAAAAACACTACAATTTTATCTATTCAATGAACAGAAGTGGGATCAAAAAGCTGTTTAGACTTTGAATGAAATCATGCATCTGAACTAAATGCAATTTTTTTTTTTTGGATAACTTATGATCATAAATAAAATAATATTCCAGAAACAAGACCTAAACGACAATCCGTATAAAACTGTTGGTGAAACATCAATACTACAATGAATAAAAATACATTTAGCTAGCTTCTCCCAATAAAGTTGATTATGATCACAAAAATCTAAGACTGCTTTTTCGATGTGAAAACAGAAAATTTTTGAGGCCACGGGACGTTCATTAAAGGAAATGAAATTTCAAATAAAGATTTGTATTTTATTGCGCATCATGGAAAGTGATGAATATCTGATAATAATTTACTATTAAATTTCTCACCGATAATCTTTCCTTTTGAGATCCAAGATTTTAATGAGCAGAAAGACGTCCTAAATTCGAGTCTTCGACAAAATGGAGTACATTTTATAGTACACAGATAAATAGGTAAATTTTGAATGTTCAAGTAGAAACATGCAAACAACGAATCACAAAGAAAAGACCGTTTAAATGGGAAAAGATGAAAATTCCCCTTGGAAAATAAATAACAGTAACATTACAAATTCACTTTTCGTTTCCTTCAAAAACAAAAATAAGTTTAAAATACTAACAACATTACTTCTTATTGTATTTCTAATCGTATTAAAAAAAATTTTGGCTTTGCAAACTGAAAATTTCTCCTTCAAATTACTAGTGTGTCGAACATCGATCAACAAAAATGGTGAATTAAATTAGCAAAGTTATGGATTCCCAAACAATATTCACTGTGGAGTCACGCGGTTAATAAATCAAGCAGTAATGTAAAAAACGACTTGACACTATTGAAAAACTGATGAAGTATACGAAATCGACAACGCATATGCGATTGAAATTTTTCGAGATGTGATGAAATTTAGATTACTATCGGGATGCAAAAATATATGTAAAAAAATGACGGTAGATTTATACTACAACTTACCGATAAAACCGATAGGAGCTGCTGTGATCTTGATCTTGAGTGCTGTGGTTGTTCGAAAATTTGACCTTTGTTGTTAACTTTTTCTACCTCATCGAACTGATTTACGCAAATTGATTCATCGAACGATACAACAAATCTACTGTCTAAGACAATACAATTGTTTATTACCGCTTAATTGTTGAATTTTATATGGACCGAGATTGAAGCCAAAGGAAAGTACCAGGTAATTGGCAATAATTTAGCACGTCTTCATATGGTTTAGTATTACATTCAGTGCTTACCGCTATCATCGCTGTGACGAGATAACGCTGGAGATATTGATTGTCCTCTTGTTTTTGAGAATTTGACAGCAGGAATTTCTAAAGATTAAAAACTTTTGAAAACAAAAACTGATCCATAACAGTTTATCACAACTATTTAATTTGGAACTTTTTTCTGACACCTCATTCCAATCTTCCTACCTATCTCTCCACCAGATGACTTGTCCTGACCTCCGTTCTCATTTTCCTTTTCCCTACTTTTATTATCTAATTACCCGTACACGACTTAAATCAAAAGTTGAATGTTAAAAGTTTCTGCATCATTTTCTTCACTTTATTTTAACAGTCACTAAACTAAACAAACCACATGACAATGTGCATTTTTAGCATCACTTTACTACCAAATCACTAATATGTTGTAAGTTATTTTGCTGTCATTAATTTTTGTAAACAATGGCAAGACAGGTTTGATGAGTAATCAAATATAACCAAAGAGAGGAGATGGAGAGAAATAATAAACATACTACTTGTATTCTGCATCCTTTTCCCAGTACTACTTTTATCTTCATTAAATTCCATTGAGCAGCACAATCTGAAATCATTTCTCTGCACATATTATCTACTGTAACCTACACGATGATCACAAAAGACTATCAAACGAACACATTACCGCATGCTCAAACACATTACCGCACCTTCAGTCCCACTCCATCTCTCCACAGCGCCCGAGACGCAGACAATAGCGCTCTTGTACCAAACCATGCAACTTGTATGAAAATCTCGTCCAATTCTATTTTATTTCAATTGTTTGTTTGAATAATATTTTGCATTGTTTTTAGTGTTCGTTGGATTAAAGAATGATAAGACTGATAATTTAACAAGTCATAATCGAAATAGGAGTGGGATATGATATCCAGGAAATGGATGACTTATGATTCAACCTGTAATTCATATATTTACTTGTAGGGAATGTGAACGCTCTCACAAACTTTGTACCCAGTCTTCCCCAAAAAATAAAGAATCTATGTAATTTGCAGGCACATCGATGGCAGCAGCATGTACTAGCAGTGGTGTCGCACTACTTCGAATTTCATCACCAACTTATTCGATTGTTCGTAATTTGTTACGACCAAGACGGAATATACCATTCCGAGGGATTTACAAGACTGAGGGCGATCTAGTACGGAAAAATGATCTTCTAGTATGCCAGCATAAGATGAATTTTCATCCTGGCTTAAATGTATGTATGATTATTTAAATCATTCTAAAGGAAGTAAAGAATCGAATAAGTGACGCACTTTGACTTTCCGAACCGTTTCTGCTGTTTGTATTAAAAGTTTAGGCTTCTATCCTGTCCTTCCGCAAATCTCGGCATGAGAATGAACAAATGTGGTGACGTTTTTTTTTGTAAAATTGTTAATAACGATTTAATTGGAAGATACAAAACATTATTTTTCTTGGTCCATTACTACAGTATTATTTTATAGTTTATTTCGTTTCAAGGTCTATCTAAAAAGAGATCGAGGTGGACAACTGCTGCTCAAAGCGATGATAGATGGTCACGTGATGATTACTCAAGAAAAAATAAATCCAGATTTTTCTATACCTGAAATGCTGGTCTACGAGGGTATGGAGGAAGTTTATAAATTAACATTTAATGTATTGCCACTGGATATGTCACAATCGTTTAGGTTGTTGAATGAAATTTGATTAAATCTTGGGAACATTTTATTCATCTATTGAATCAATCTATTTGTAGTAATTCCACATGTATTGCTGTTATATACATCTCTCTGTGAACATTTATTTATCTTCATTCGGAAAATCTTTTGACAAAATGAAATTTAGTTCAAATGTTAAGTAGTTTTGGCGGAAAGCTTTCCTTTTTTAAAGTTTTATTCATTGATCTCATATGTTGTAGAACGTTTGTAACTTCCGAGATCTGAACTCCTAAAGCTAGATAAGCTTAAGAGTATTTAGTAATAACCTTAGTGAATCTAAAGGCTTACCTATGTCCAGGGATGTTTAAACTAACGTTAGAATAAATCTAGTAGAATCTTAAGTCTATTTAATCTTAAAAGATTTTCTGAAAACATTTTATCCTGCCAAAAATACTGAAAAGTAGTTTTAAAAGAGAAAGTAGGCAACAAAAATGATTCTTAAATATGCCATCATCGATGGCGCTTATAATCTTTTTCCATATCTTGGAGAAACCTTGTCGTATAATTTTTTAATTCTTTTGATTCGGACTGTGATAAATTGACAGCTTTTTTTGCATACTGAAGCGCCTCTACTCTGAAATTTAATGCATTAGCGGAATCATCAAAACTATCAGCATCCAGTAGCACATTGTCTGCGGTACACTACTAGGTGTTGAATAGAAGTGGCTTGCAATGCAAGACATCAACTCTTTAATTTTATACTCTATGTGGTTCAGTTACTGATAATTCGGTAGTCATTTCAATATGATAAATAACCAATCATGAAGTGGAAAGTTTTCATACGAACGTACCTTTGACCACAATGATAAAGTGCTTCTGAATAATTACAATAGTATCCAGGCAGTAGGCTGCTGCATTCATCGATATACAATATCCTATCTATACCAATTTCCAAATACTTTTTTGCAAGATCAAACCTGATAGATTCAAGCGAAATGGAAAAAACTTGTTAATTGTTAATGAAATTCGCCTTTGGGCCACTGTAAAATAATTCCCTTCGTAAATTCTATACTTTCTTTTCAGAAGCTAAACGATGTGAGTGTTCTCTCAGTGAGCTAGGTAGGAAGCGCAACAATTTTTAATTTCTTCAGTATTAGAAAAAAGTATTTCTGTTATGAATCTTACCAGGGTACTACTATAAAATAAACAAGCATGCAGATTTCGCTAATTTTTTTGAGACTGATTCTTTTATACCAAGAATAAAGTTAACTAATCAATTCTCTGGACGAAATTTACCTGTTCCTGTTAATCAACAGAGCACTATAATTATTGAGCATATTGATTGTGTGGAAACAATTGATGCCGTAAATTTGATATGAAATCTAAAACCATGAGAAAATTAAAGTAGGATTACAAATATGTCGACCTTTTTAGAATATATAGTGGTGTTCTAAAATTATGTGATATTCCGGAGTAAAGTGAAACTTTTTTTTAGAGAAACTACCTTCAAAGCTTCATCTATAAGTTGTGCAGTATCGTCTATCCTTTTCTCTTCCCTGTATCGAGCCTGTAATATTCGACTTGCAATTAAATTAATAATTTCTATACTATAAAGATTTGCAGTATACCAAACTTACAATGAAGTGAGCGTATTGCTCAAGACACAGGCCATAAAGGGCAAGAGGATCTGTAAATACAGCTCCATACTGGTTCACGACCTGTGGAATATCATGCGAACCACCGTAGTTTATTGAATATTTCGCCATATGCCTCTCGATTACCTTCAGTAAAAATTCCGTTCAGATCAGTAAAGAATTGCTTGGTTATATGTATATAAAGAATGAAGTACGGAAGTTTGGATGAAGTTTCGATATGTCATTTAAAAGGAAAAGAAAATGAAAATATATTTTTTAGAGAGCACATATCATGAATTTTATATTGCATACTTTCATTTGTCTAGCAACACAATGTTTGTAACCAATTTCGGCATCATCTAGTTTGCCTTTCTGAGCAAATATGTCGGATAATTTGAGGCTCACGTCGATAAATTCAGGGTCGTCATCTTTCTTTGTGTGTAGAATCATCAATCTAAATCATTAACATTCAAAAATAAAACCTATTTAAAGTCTTCCAAAACATCTGCTGATCAACAGTTTAAAATTTACATTGAAAATCCGAGAAAAATAAGTTGAGACATGCAAAAACTTAAAGTCAAAATAATAATTCACAATAATAAAGTGGAAATAATGCCTTTTAAACAGAAGAGTAATGTAGGAGAATGATATCGAGAAGTCCTGTACTATTTACATCAATGGAAAAAAAAAAAAAAACCAAAGTCAGAGAAGTTAATAAAATGCACAAACCGCTGCAAAAGATCACGAAAAGCTTGTTCTGCTTCATCTAGTTTTCCCATTTCATAATAAGTATTGGCTAATTCATCAATAATCCGACTAACAATCAATTCATTGTTTCGTCCAGTGGCCATTTGCATTGCCTCTTCCAGGACTATTACTGCTTGATTATACTTATGTTCCTTCCTGTACAACCATGCCTTTAAATGAATTCAGTGTAAAGCTCAGCATACATTTGACATAAATTTAATGCATTAAAAGGTTAAGAAGTTAAGACAAATCATTCCATTGATTACTCTTTTATTTCTAGAAAAAAGTAAATGCAACTATAACAAGTGGTACTGGAATTTCTTACTTCTTTGATTTTATGTTTTAGTGGATCTTTATCAAGTTGAAATGGTGGTGTCCCAAATAGATCCTTGAATGTTGTTATCATTGAAAAGCCAAGTAAAGGAAAAGCAGTGCTTCCAGTAAACCATCGCCAACCTTTTTGACCCCAATTGCTCTTTCCCCGACCACCTGTTCGACCATGGTTCCTTGGAATTCTTGGAAACATTAGTAATGCTGTCAGCGATTGCTTACGAAATATGAACGAGTACCAGTTTAATAATTTTCCTTGCATTTTCGAATTAGATATCCTAAAGGTCATCCAAATTATAAAACAACACCGTAATGAATGAAATGCCGCATAACAATCTCCAGAGATTTAATAGAATGGTAACAAATTTACCCACAGTGTCGCACCAAGAATTTCGAATATCTGACACCTCAAATCACACAAGAAGTAATAGCTCTTTCATGCGATTTACCCTTCCGAAGAACATCCCTCAAATAAAACAGTTTTAATCGATCCCATTGAATCAGACAATAAGTCAGGATTCATCTCGCTCAAAATAATAGTGATTCCTTCCTAATCATATTCTCATAATACTCTTCCAGAGAAACCAAAATTGAACATGAAATATTAATTTTTAATTTTGAAACCAACCAATAACTGTTGTTATTAAACAATTTATTTGGACATTTATAAACAAAAAAAAAAAAAACTCGCTGCTTTTTAAAATGGTCAAAATAGGGATGAAGATTAGACAAAGACATCTTTTCCAACTTCATTCAAAAAAAGGCGATAAATTCACCAGCTTACAAATACTTTTGTTGAATGAACTTTGCACAATTCACCAAATAAAAAGTAGTCAAAGCATGAAGACAATGCACGACAGCTATTTATTCAAGCTAAAAACATGCTCATTTCAAGAAGAAACAAACAATAAAACAATGTCGTAAGCTTCACAGTGAAAAAACTAATCCATTTTGATAGCAAATGATGATCCGCACGAACAACCCTTCTCGGCGACTGGATTATCAATGATACGAAATGATGATCGCATCAAATCTTCCAAATAATCTACTGTTGCACCCTTCAAAAACTGAAGTGATATCTGAAATGTCTTACGTTCCAAAAAAAAAACGCAGAATTATTGCATTAAAATACCTAGGATCTTACACATATACTAATCTATTATTCATTTAATGTGAAAATAGGAATGATAACATTATTTATATAACTAATCCATCTCAGCTCAAATGAAATTGAGTATATTTGAATGATGCAAGAAATCCAAGAATTTAGCTCATTTACACAGGCACCTTAGAAAATTAAATTAGTCTATGCTACATTTTACACTCCATTTTCTTTCCTCTTCAACAAATTTGGTTCTACCAAATTTTAATACATGTCATAAGTTCTTTGTCGTAGTTTTGAATTTTCATGTAGCTTTCAAACGATCACCTGCTATATCAACTCCTCTCTAATAAGGAGCGATATAATCTCCGATGTAGAACCTCAAATAGGGAGTGTTATTTCTAGATTCCTCCTTCTACAATTTTACAAATCCTTAAAATAAGATTTAAAAACGAACCTCGTCTACAACGACTTTAATGTGATCTTTGCAGAAAACAAAATCATTATCATTGATTTTACTGTCTAAACTCATTTTATACTCAAAACCGGAACAGCCACCACCATCGACCACTATTCTCAGATGCTCTCCAGTGCTGGCAACTTCCCGTAGTCGATTAACACAGTTGTCAGTAATTTTTAAATCAGTAGAAACACCATCCTTTGCATAACATTTTCGAGTCGCATACAGCAAACGCCAATTTCTCATTGCTATCTTTGATCTATTCATTATTTCTCATATCTGGAAAATGCAAAATGAGATTCCGACAAATCACTGATATATATTTCACCAAGATATTGACGATGATAGTAAAACATCTTTAGTAAAATGTATTATATATCACATCCAAATTAGACAGAAAGGCGATAATTAAAATAAAAGAAACAGTCAAAAATCAAGCCGCACTTCAGCAGATGAAATTTTTGCCAAACAAACAGATATTAAAGTACAACTTTATTTCCATGTTATCTTACTAACTTTACAAAAACTTTCAACAAAATAAATGTATACTTATGAAATTCAAAAATGTATCATGCTAAAACATCAAAATAGGTTTCTAAGATTCCAGATTTAACAATTGAAAAGTGAAGAAAGAGAGAAGATCATTCAAGAATCTAACGTTTTGATCGAATCTGGTACTGAAGAAGCATTCGGACTTGATGCACGTTGTGAAGATTGAACTATGCTTTTCAATGCATTTAATCGCATTGACTCTAATTCTACAGCTCGTAGTAATCCTGGAATTGTCGTATTTCACATATATGTCACAACTGGACCAACAAAAAAAAAAAAGCTAATAAGACGCTGGGCTTTTCAAGCAGTCTGATAAGTGCTGGGCATTATTATTAACAAACAAATGAGCACTAAAATACAAAGTTTCTTTCCACATTATCTTACTAACTTAGAAAATTTTTAAATGTAATTATCAGATATGGAGATACATTTGGTACTAAATATATTGTTAAGCACAAAGATAACAAGGTAATATAAAGAAACTCTCGCCATGTTTTTTTTTTTTTTTTTCTTTTCTCTAACGAAAGGATATGAATTTAACGCTATATAAAGATAAAAAATACACCATAAAACAGAAACCTGTAAAATGGACATGAAGTCGTTGCAAAGCTCTCTCTTCTCTTTCCAAATTGATTAACTGCTTTCGAATCTGAGCGGCGTTTTGTGACATTAATCTCTATCAGAAATATATGACCAAAGATAAAGTCACATTTTTACAGCGAAACATTTTTGAAATGAGCATATTCAACTAAATCTAAAGTTGCTCATGTGCCAACATTTAAAATCCCTACAAATACCTCCAAAAATTCCGGAAGAAATTATCCATAATAACAAAGCAAGAGTTGTAACTATGCTAACTTGGATCAGTAGATATATTACTGGAATCGAATTAAATACTTAGTTTTCTGTGAAAAGATAAATTCGATAAGTTCAAAGAGAGAAAAAACTGGAGTATATATGTATATAGCGAGAGCTTTAAACAAATAATTATGTAGAATTCAACCGTATATTATATTTATACAAAATAAGAAATACCAGAACACAAACAATAAAAAAAAAGTCAAACTATTGTGAAATTATACAAGAAATCTTAAAAATTTGAAGCGAATTTATAAAACAAAATATCCATTACCATTACAAATGCGGTAATTTAAAGCACAGCAAAATTAATCAGTCAAAAATCTGTTCATAAGATCAATAAAATCCAACAAATCAATCAAAATTAATTAAGTTCAATCGCAAGATCTTGGTAAAATGAGCTAGATATAATCTTTTCCTCTATAGTAAAATATTTCACAACAAATAAGAAAAATTTTTTTAATTGAGAGAAAACGAACAGAAGCATTTAACTAAGCCTATCGTTTGAAAATGGGTGCAGGACTAGTTTGATTCGCCCTCCGTCGCTGCCGTTCAAAGCGTCGCTCCATTTCGTCCAGTAATCGTGGTGTATAACGTACAACCAATCTCACGGTACCTCGTGCTGATTTCAACAAGTCCACAGCTTTTTCATGACTTTCCCACTCAACATTAACTCCATTTACCTAAAAATTATTGTGGTACAAATAATTTTTGGCAAAAACTTACACATTAAAGATAGAGAATTCAAAATTGAAACGATGTATTTATTCTGAAAAAAAAAAAAAAAAAAAAACATAAAACATAAAAAGCAGCATTACCACATATGCAACTGTGCGATATCTGCGTTACTGATTAAATGCTAAGCAGTACTACGAATATCAATTTGCAAAAAAAAAATGACTAGTATTTGAATCGTTCAGTTACCAGAATGTAGAGTTTCAAGAAAAAAGAAAAAAAAAAAAAAAAAAAAAAAAAAAAAAAAAAAACTTCAATATTATCTTTCATATAGTCACAGCCCAGACGATTGTGTTAGAATTTTTGTGTAAATAAAATTTGAAAAAAATAATTATTTTCACTTAATTAAATCAAATAAAAATACTAACCGCAACCAACTGATCACCACGTTTCAATTGTCCGTTTCTATCAGCGACACCTCCGGGAATAATACGAGATATATAAATAGGTGAATTCTGTTCTTTCCCACCCATAACGTTGAATCCAAGACCTTGGTCTGTCTTCGGAAGTTCAACAATTCGTGGATGTGCATGTCCCTCAGCTGCTGCAAATGCTGCTACAGTTGCTTTTGCTGTTGCACTTGTTCTCACCTAAAAAATTTTAAAGTAATACATTTCCTCAAAGTTGCTCGAACGAGACACCAAATTTTAACTATAGTTACATATACACATAAAAAATTTTTCATTATCAGGCAGTATTCTTATTTTTTAAGATCTTGAAAATACACCTCTCGAGCACTATCAGCACTGATAGTATCGTAAACATTTTCAAAAACTTCGCGAACTGATGAAAAGAAGTCAGATTGTAAAATATTTTGCAGCGATGTAAGCTTCGGACTATTCAGTTCACCGGTTTTTTGTACATGTTCGATCAATTCAAGAATTCTTTGAATATCTGCAATCGTGCATTAGTTTTAGCCAATTAAATTCGTAAGATAATTGAAAGACTGATAACATTACTGAATATTATTCAAAATCTTTAATACATTTTTAGCAGTAAACACATTATGCAGAATAGTCGTTACTATTGACATGATTTAAAGAGTATGAATAAAACTAGAAAATATATTTTCTTACAAACAAAACATATTCCAAACAGTAAATACCTCTGTCGAGATGAAGACCATCAGACGATTCTTCCATTAAACACAACCAAATTTGTATATGTGGCTATCAGTTTGCACCTTTGCTTCCCAAGTTTATTCAAACTGTAATTTTGGATGGAAATTAAAAAAAAAAAAAAGAACTTATCAAAATAACTCACTATGTCCGATTCTACTCAGATATTTGATTCATATTTCTAGTTTCATTCAGAGTAGCTTATTTTGAAAAGTTATGGATGAAAATAAGTGAGTGATCTACATTTATTCTTACGCAAATAATGTAAAAAATTATAAAAATTTTAACCTAAAGAACAAATGAGACATTTAACAGCGATAACTCGCATGAGAGCAATACAAAAGTCAACGCTATCTTAATAAAAAATGTTGTATTTTACAGATACCTGCAAAAAGAACACTATACATCCAAACACAGAGACTACAAACTGTATATAGCTTAGTGATGGAAAGATAACAAATACAATAACACTTGTGAAAATAGCAAAGACTTCCAAAAAATCAAAAATTTACCAATCAAAACCTAAATTCATGAACACATACAGAAAGAATTTCTTGTATTAGGACTGTACGATCTTCATTTATTCATCCTTAATGTAACAAACTCATGCATGAGTCACTCATTTGAACCTACGCTTTTTATATTATTAATTTTGCATATAGACATGAAATCAATTTAATTTAAAAAGTTTCATTGAAAACTTTGATTAAGTATGATTTCATTACCAAATTGAAGCTTCAAATACATTTGAAGTGGTATGAAATACGAGGTAATACTCGGAAGATGTACAAAATGTGAAATAGTTCTCATCGAGTAACACTTCGAATAATTACAATTAGATTTATAAAATTAGTCAACTATGCCCATTCATATTAGCAAAATTTCCAAAACAAGCAAAAGAAATATCATGAAAGTTCGAAACCAGCTCCACAATTTATTGCATAGATTAGCTTACGACGCAACGTTTCAGCATTATCATATAGTGGCAGCTTCAACAAATTCATACATGTCGCAGCAGTCGGTAGTTTATCAACGTCATGGACGAGCTGAATACCCATTGGCGGTGTTAAAGTCTAAGCAAATACACACGCATTTAGACTTTTGTAAATCAAAAATTGTTTTTATTTTATGAATTACTCCAGAAAGCCTCTAATTATGAGCACAGAAATTATAACAAATTTGAAAAAATTTTGCTTCGTTCTCAAACTACTACTCCTTTTTCATTGCGGAACATTACTATCATAGAAAAAGAACATTCAAAAAAAAAAAAAAAAACATTATAAAATATAATTCTTTTCCACATATGAATGACAGCTTACGAGCTTTTTCTACCTTATTTATCAAATAAAAATTCTCATCTTTAATTGCAGAACAAATAACTCTTTTTTAAAGCAAATACAAAAGAGAAAAAATATTACCTTAAAACCCATTATGGGTGGTCGTGGACAACCAGTTATAAATTTTAACAGCTTCTTTTTGTCGCCAGATGAAAAACCATTGATAACCAACCAGAATAGATCCATGTACTGTTGGTCATGTTCTGCTTAAATAAACGTTTTCTAGATGAAATATGTTCAAGAGGATTATAATTTATAAGTAGGCAAAATCAAATTATTGAAAACATGGGTAACGAATGAGAGAACTACTAATTCTTACACTTTATGTTATGTACAGTCGTGAATTTTTTTAGTTCATTGAAATCAATTTCTGAATCACTACCGCCAACCAACATTGAAATTTCTAATGGCGAGAACATTCGCAACCATTCAGGATCTATAACATTCCTCAAACCACTACGAAGCGCGGCAATCATTGGTGAAAGCTGTAAAAAATCTGAATGTTTTAGATTTTTTTGAGCGAGTATTCAATATTTGTTTTAATAATTTACAAAGGCAGTGGGACACAAACTTCTGCATTAATAAAAAAAAAAAAAAATAATAACAATTGGCAAAATGAACGTACTCGCTTGGAAAGATAGTAATTAACATATAACTGTATATATTCCATTCTGTTGTCTGCTGTTACTTTGATGCAACTACCATCTTTCTTTAATTCTACCTTCTGCAGAAAGTAATAAGTTATACCTTTTAAAAAGATTCGTTAACAAAAAAGCAATAAAATTTGATAATAAAAAGTCAGCAATTTAACGCTCATTATGTTTACAAAAGAATCTATTTCTTACCGCCGTCACGCCGAAATTATCAGTCATAACACTGAAATCAAGATCAAGATTTTCGATTTCTTCTGTTGAGCAACGCTTCAAAAACTTCAGATTTTTGTGCAAAAGAGGATCATATGATTTAACTAATTCCAAATCCAGAACTGTTCCGTCCGGATTTCCCATCCACTGCAGCAAGAAGAAATTGGCAAAACGAATGTCTGCCAGTAAACCTTCATATATTAACTGCAAAATGCATAGATTAAGAAATCACATATAAAACACATATAAATTAAGCATATATTAAAACAAATTAAGAGATCAAAACTGCAAATTATCCAAAGTATAATCCAGAGCAATTTAGTCGACTTTTTCCTAATTCCAGATGGTAGATGACAAAACCGCACTAACGACTGAATTAAGATAGGTCAACTTAAACTTTCGAAGTAAAAAACTTAAGTAAAAGCATTACAATTAATGGTCACAATTTCTTTCATTAAATACTTAGATGATAATCGTCAAAGGTTAATCGCAATGTAAATAAATTAGATGGCTAATCTAATAACAAATTAAAATCGTAGGAATAACATAATAAGATTCAGTAGCAACCAAAAAATCATCTTATTATTTAGAATAAAAGCTTAAAAAAACTATATACTCAAAAATTAATAATCACCTTAGCAATAATTCGACCGATGAAATAAAAATGATCAACAAAATTATTCGGATAAAGAAATGGTGCCAAAGGGTTTGGATATAAAAGCTGTTCATGAGTTGTAGCAAAAAAACCACGAGATGGATCAAGAGCGGTCTGAAGGAGTTCGAAAAGGAATTCCCTAAAAATGCCACCACCATCAACGCCAGCTTCTTCTAGTCCTGCCCAATTTACCATCTGTACACGAATTGTTGATTTCATATCGGGAACTAAAAATTCAATGCGTAGATACTGCATTTCTGCAATAGTTTAACGATTCTTAATATCCATTTCTCGACTTATACGGCACTACTGTTGAAAGAATTATTTGACGAAAATATTTGCTTCAATAAGTTATAAAAGTAGTCAAAAACTTTTACCAAGGTGAGGCTGTAACGCTCTAAATGCATCTTCGTACAAAGTTGCTCTGTGTACAGCGATAAAATGCCTATTTCGGCCTGAAAAACCGAGAAAAAGTTTTTTTTTTTTTTATCTAACTAACGTTTTTCCCTTCGCAAAAAAAGACATAGCAATTATTAACTTTCACAAAACATTATAGAAATGCTTATTTATCAAAGATATAAACGTCTTCCTTGAATACTTACAATTTCGTTGTCACTGAGAGAAAATAATCATTGTAATTACCTGTATCATTACGTATCCGATCTCTTAGAAGCAATTCTGTGAAAATCTGAAAATAATTCAATGTACCACCTAAAATTTTCGTTGATCCACTCGAATTTACAACCAAAATTACGAAATAAGTGCTTGATAACTTCACAAGAAAGAAGTAAGCGTACCTCAATTCGCTGCATAAAAGGAATAACGAAAGGAATATTGCGGATGATCGATAAATTACGCAACTCACTGACACTTGGAGGGTCTTCATTAGCATCCGAATCTCTATTATCAAGCAAAAAACGCACAAATTCAAATGGACGTCTTGCGCGACGTCGACGACCATATTCACTTTGCCACAGTGACTAAAATGACTATTTCTACAGACAAATTTATCTCAGAATTTATAACTACAAAATAAAAACATTTTCTTTGAATTCTTGTATGAATGATGAATAGAGAAACTGTTATGACTGATGAATTGCAGATCACTACTGTAGGGAGAGAATATTTTTTGCTTTTTACTGTAACATCGTTTAGATAATTTTTAACTACTTTACAACCAACAGTTAACATTTCAGATCTTTAATTAATTATATTTAAATCTATGTCATGCATAAACTGCAAATAAAGCAAAAATGAGTGGAAAAGAGACATGAACTTACAGAATTGACGACAACATTTCTATTATGATTGGACCAGAAATTGTGCGGCATGACACAAACTCGATTATCTCGTTCGTGTAATGCTTTCGTTAACAAGGTGACATCCTAAAAGTAGTACTTTTCAAAATTTCATTGCTGGAATCATGCTTACCTAATTCAATATACTTAGCAAAATAATTCAAAGGAAAAAAAAAATACTGGAAGAGTAAACATTAATGCTGTTTCAATCACCTGAAATAAATTAGCCCATTTTGAACTCTTCATCACAGATTGTTGGAATGGTCCAATATTAATAGGAAATGCGAGATCGATTAAGCCAAGTGTAAGATCACTTAAAAGTTACAATTAATAATAAAAAACAATATATCAAAGAAGACAAGAACGAAGTGAAAAAAAAGAAAACACGGGTTTAAATAAGCGATGAAACACTTATAATAAAAAACATTGCTTCAAAATTAATTTGTATTAATCGTAGGAAGTAGCACTAAATTATAATGAAATAAGCAAAGTTAATTTTGCTATTGCAGTTTTTGCATTATAAGCAATTTTAGTGTTATACTACCTCAATTTAAATTTCTTCAATTCATGCACAAAAAAAGTTAAAAAAAATCCAGAAATGATTTATATCCTACACTAACCGACAATGAACGACTATATCAGCCATTTGGTTTAGTGTAAGAGGAAAAACAGTATCTCCAACACCACCATTTTGGAAATCGTCATCGTCAACTATTTTCAATGCATTCATCATCAATGTTATAAATATTGATAAAGCCGGTATTAAAGATTGTTCATCAGAATTCGATATATTTTCACCCTGAAAGAAAAAACGCTATACACTACAGTTTGATCTGTTAGGAAAATTAATCATCTGAGATTATATTTCATAGTCATGAAATGAAAAACTTTCCTACTGATTAAATTAAAAACAAAGTAACAACAGAAATAACACATATCTCAAAATTCAGAAAAAAGTGTTTTTCAATATATACAGGATAAAACATATGAATGTTACATTTAACATTTCTTTATGATATGAATACGACATGTTACTAAAAAATGTTTAAAAATGATAAGTCCTACTAACCTTTTCCAGCATTCTTATTAGTGGTTGTGTCACTCCAAACATCGTATTCGTGTTAAGGGACAATATTAGCCTCCATAAACTTGGAATTAGCTGCCGAAATGAAGAAAATAAGTTCGTCAGAGAAATATAATTTGCAGACGAATGGATGCGTATGAAATAAGTTAATGTGCAAAGCGAAGTAATTCCTTGACGATCTTCCAACAACGCATTTATGAATGATTCATTTGACAGAAGAAATTTCAGACTGGAGATTAGAGTTTTCAAGTAAAATTGTGCGGTCTGAAAACAGTACAGTTCTCTTCTGATGATTTAAATTTACTGGGGCAAATGAGCTTTCAAGTTGGACTTTGCATGCTACACCCTTCCAAAAACTTGAAATTCACGGTTTTTCAGAAAATGAAGTAAGCAAAATACGTTTATATCTTTTTACATTGCAAAAAAGTCCTCAATTTCTCATAAAAATGAAATATTTTCAAATAAATTAAAATACTTTCCAGAATTTCTGGTTCAACATCAGATATCGCAGCCATAATAGTATCGTTTGATTCGTCTTCCGTATCTGAATCATCATTATTAGTTCGTTCTGTTAATACTGCTTCCGGTGGTGGCGTAAAATTTTGTGTGAGCGATGCGTACACAGCAATCAATTTGGTTTTTTCCAAATCGCTTAATTTTTCTGTAATAAAGTAATGAGACCAAAACAAGGTGTTTTTTGCTAAAAGCTTCTGGAAAATAAAATTTAAGATATCGGATGCGATTATATATGTCAGAAAAAATTCGATTATCAATAAGTACACATGATGATACATACAGGTAAAAGTTGAAGCATTATTCGAAATGTCTTTGGAATCATTATACTGTCCATTTTTTTCGCTAGGACACAGTACAAAAAAAAGTTTTGGAAGAAGGGGAAGAGGAGACATTTTAAATTGCTAATATTATAGGGAACACATTTGAAAATATTTCATAATTTATATATTTGTTAATTGTAATGGATATTTTTATTATATAAGAATATGTTTTGTAGAAGGATATTTAATTTTAATGTTAGCTTTGAAATTTAATTATTTCCGTTAATTAAAAATAGCGATAACTATTAGCCTACAACTGACATAGCAAGAATTAAGGCTACCAAAATTAAAGCATAAATGAATGAAGAAAAAAACTAAACCTAATGAAAATGCCGAAGTAATAACGGCCACAATATATGAAATTAAAAGCGCAGAAACATCTTGTGATAACCGATAATCACTACTTGATAAAGCATCCATAATATCATCGAGTTTCCAAGTCCCTGCTTTACAAAGTCGAGCTAGAAAGGGTGCTAAGCAACAAACAGTAATAGCTTCAAATCTTGGTTTGCAGATCGTGTCAAACAATTCATATATAGCTTTCGACCTGCAATAAAAAACAATGAAACTTCCCATGACAAAAAAATTGAATTAGTCAGATGACTATTCAAATTATTCAATACACAATAATTCTATAACAGAATAATTTCTGCTTCATTGAAAACACATGATCTTGAAATTCAGTTATGATTCTGGTAGACAGAATCTATAAAAGTAAAAAAGTAACACTCTCTATGCTTACTAGTTCCAAATAAAAAAATTAACATTAAAGTACTCGAAAAGCCTACTTCTTGGAAAGGCGATCTATAGGTAAAACCAATATTTGCAAAAGTGATTCTGAGTACTGCGGAAGTTTCTCCTCAATATACAAAGCTGAAAAATATCACAATTTAGAAAAAAGAGACAAATACCTCGATTACAAATGTAAATATATGTTAAGCCCATACAAATATTTGATGTATAGTCCGCCTTATTACAAGACAATACACTGCACTGTTAGTTCTGTAAAACAGTAAAACATAAAAATAGATATAACTAACCAGAAATACTTTTCCGTTTCAAATCTAACTAATTTTCTAAATTAGCAATTACTTTAGCCTATCACAATAATGACTAAGTCAAGATGCTAAAGATTTACGAGAAGAAAGCTGATGACAATTCGAGAACAAATTCATTATGGATGAGTAGAAGCCATAATTCAACAAAATTAAGCAATCTTCTTCCTTTATATAAACTTCACAAAACCGCAATGCAGAGGTGCACGATTTGGTTCGATCGGTGTGTTGCAGAAGCACAAGTGCACACCGTAAAAGTTGCCGTCGTCTCCTTCGATCCAATAAATTGTTCGCTTTTACAACTTGTGCTAGCATAACTGCTTCACTGCACAATGTTAACTAAAAGTTATGGCTCACAAAAAGCAACTCTGGACTTTATCTAGGATTGTTGCAAACAAAATCATAATTAAAAAGATATGAGAAAACTTTAATGGAACTATGGAACAGATTTTCTATTTTAAAAAATAATAACAGCTATAAAATGCATTAATGGTAAAAAGAAATACCAACAACTAAAAGATGCGTTAAGCCTGAATATCACCAAAATTATGGAACTTACAGTTCTTTCACGGTCAACATCATATCGGAAGAAGAATGCCAAACGACAAATTTGCGTTTCCAATAGTGTAACGCTTTGTACTGGACCTGCTTTATCGAAAAGATTTCGCAAAAAGACATGAAATTGCTTCCTAATACGATATCCCCGATATACAGATTGTATTTTGACAGCTGCTATTTTTCGCCTGAAGGAAGAAATAAAAATATATAAATAAAATAAAAATAAGTAAATAAAAGTGAAACATATAGATGTGATCAGAACGTATTGGATAAACCACAACTTGTAAAAAAAAAAAAAAAAAAACAAAAAAAAAAATTTCGATTTTTTCTGTTTTTCTAAAATCTAAAGTTAAAAAGTAAAGATTTGGTAAGTACTAAACTAATACAGAGAATTACATAATCAAATATAAGCCATAATCAAATATAAGCCTTCTTCAAACTTGTTTATATAACAATTGCAAATATCGCAACCATAAGATCATTTCGAAGAAACAAATGCATAGGAGGTGTGAAGCTAAAACGACAACAGGAAGCCCAAAGAGCAATGTATCTAATATTGAAATGCATTACCTGGAACGTTCCTGTCTTTCAATACGTTCTTCATTAATTTTTTTCATGAAATCCTCTTTTTTAGCCTGAAAGAAATGAAATAAATAGATGAAGGTTACATTGTTTGGAAGATTCAAGAAAATATGCCATTAAAAAGAACTAACCAAATCAGAAAAAATCGCTTCTTGCAATTTATTCCGTCTAATCGAGCCATTAAAATCGTAAAGGTTTAAATTACCAGCCATAGTACAATCTACAAAAATTAATATGGAATTTCTAAACAGTGATAGTACCGCAACAACGCTGACTTATCGGTCCAGGCAATCTTGACAATCCAAATATACAAATCATTATTTAGTATCTTATGAATATCATATTCGAAACCATACTGTACCTTCAAGAACCATTTATCAGGTGAGTTCCTTATCTATTTTGTGCAAAGTATTAAAGTATTTAACATTCTCAAATGGTAATAAACAACTTTATTAAAGATCCCATATACATCTTACAAATTTTAAAAATTAAGATAAGGAAACGGATCTGTCAACCAATTAACATTCCACAAATCCCTTCCGTATCGACACTTTTAAATACATTAAATCATGGTCATAATAATCCTGAGAACAAAAATTCAATACTTTTGTTACCATTGTTAAAATTTCATTATCACAGTAATACATCAACGACACAACAGTGAGACGTATGACAGAATTCAAAATTCTTTCAAATACTTGATATTGCATAGTGGTGTGTATATTTAAAGCACAAAATAACAAATATAGGAAAGAAAATACTATTTAATGGATGTCACACATTCGACAGCGAACATATCTTTATTCCTCCGTCAAAAAATTAAAATATAAACGACATCTAAACATAACACTACAAAACAGCCAATGATAAAATGTACAGGATGAAAACAATAAATTATATGACAACAGTGATGACCTAAAGAATTTTTTCACCATTCTTCTGTTCCTTAACAACCACCAGCTCATGAAAACAAGAGAATGAAGTAGTGAAAATTCCCTGCTAAACAAATAAACAAGAAATTTCTGCTACTCAGCTGAAGATGTTTAAATAAAAGATTAAAACTCAGGCCAAGTGGTCAAATACTTCCTGAAAAAGTGACTGCTTATGATATGAAACTAATTATCAGATTCTTCAGTCGCCTGTCGCAACCAGTCGATGATTGGACGAGCTAGAGTTTTAAGAGAGGCACTCTCATGCACAGTATCATACCATTCAAGAATTGCATCTTCTTCAAAAATATCCTGTTCATAGAAAAAGTGTATCACTTTCGCAGACAACACTTTAAAACTGGGATTGGATGCAAGATGTTCCTGTAAAAATATAGATACAAATTCATACTGCTAATGATATTGTTTAGAAAACTTGATTTCGCAAATTGAAAACTTTCGAAATCATACTTACAATTGTATAAATTTGCAGAAAAGACTTCACTTGTGCTTACAAAGCATACAAAAAAAGTTACCTCAATTGCAACAAGTGCCTGAATCTGACTTTTTATTGGTTTGTAGTAGTTGACGAATAATAAATGCCAATTTTTTGCAAGCTACAAAGAAACTTTTTTTTTGGTTTTAGTTAAGTGATGAAAATCTTTTGCTTAAAGATTAACTCAAGATGATAAAAAAAATTTTGCTAAAGATTAACCCATATGAAGATGAGCTCATAATCTTCAAAAAGACCAATCTACAAGCTTACCTTCTGTAGCTCACAAAAAGTATTGGACAGTGATAGGAAAGATAAGAACACGTTACGCGCAACGTCTTCCATTGTTATATTGTAAGCTAATTTTGAACTGTTGATTTCTAAAATCAGATTCTTTATCAGCTGGTCATTGCATTCTTTTTGTTCTGCTATCCTCTCCATACTTTCTTTAACCTGCAAACTCCAGATTATCTAGTCAAATTTCTTTTATATTATATATATAAAAATCCATAGAAAGATGAGTTCACAGTAAACCAATATAAAAGTGAATGAATGAAATGAAAATACATACTTCTTCGTAGAATCGATCAACACAGTCTATTTCTTTCTCGCAAATAACTTGTTCTGTCTCTTTTAAATCATTCATATCTGGAATTTTCGATCAAAATATCACATCAGTGTAATCAAATCGCATTACGAATTGAGTGCTGTAGTGAAAAAGTAAGAAAAGAAGTTTTTGAATACCTTTGGACGTTATTGATGCCTCATGTAGTCGAAGATTTGAACAACTAGCATGCCAAAAACCACTTTCATTTTCCATTCTCCATTCAAATCCATCTTAAAAATTTTATAAATCTGTTATACTGATTCCTTTGACTGAAACTGTCAAAGCAAACAAAGACTATCAAACCAACATTCCGATTGAATGCATTCGAACTGTTCATCGTCGTCTTCATAACATTCTGTACTGATAACGCTTCCTGATGGTAACTTTCTATCATCTGGAATTTTCACCTGAAAATGCACTTAATGAAGTGTATTAACTTGTTTCAAGGGGTTTATTATAAATAAAATTATGATAAAACGTTACACTGGTCCAACGAACATTTTATGATTCAACAAAATAACTTTGAATTTTGAAAAAAAAAAGATAAAAACCTTAGACGATAAAACACATTTTGGAAGAATTATAACATTGCTGCCAATTACAACATCGTCTGCAATATAGCATTCTGATAAGCGGGAATTTGGACCCAGTGATACATTTTGACCGATTATACAGTTGACAATTTCACAGCCGTCACCTCAAAAAAATCTCGTACAGATTTAAGTCAGAACATCGGAGAATGTAACAGTGTAATGAAACTATTCTAATATATTGTAATCAAATCGTGCATATCAACAATCCTTAGTATTACTTTGCACCACTCTGATCACCATGTAAAATAACAAACAAGTATTGAAGAAATAAACAAGTACCAATAGATGTTCCAGAACCAAATGAAACATTTTTTAACACTACATTCAAACCAATCGAACAATTTTTTCCCAACAAAACATTTGCTCCATCAAAAATCAATGGCAAATTCCTTAAAAACAATCAAATTAAAAAATGTGGCTTTAATTAACTTGATCATCACCAAAATTTGAAAAATCTGTTTGCGGAAACATCGATTTTGCTTGAAAATCATTGAAAAAAGCTGGCACACCTTATAGTCCCATAATTTTGTTGCAAACTGTCAGATAATGTATAAATATTATTTCGCCGACAAATGTAAGTTGAATAAGAAATATTATCAGGTACAAGAGGGTAGAAGAAGCGTTGCAAAATCATTCTGTTCATAAGTAAGAGATCTGCATAATCACTGAAAACAAAACTTGAGAAAATGAGACAAAAGATGAATGGAGCCATGAGCAACAAACTGTAGATTTTTCACACTTTTTACTTTTCGAGAAAAAATCTATCAAAAACTATAACTAATAACATTGTCAAATATTCCAAATTTAATAATTCATTGTTGGAAAAATAACCGCAAAAGTTTTGCGAAGCACTAAAAAGCTCAAGGTTTCATGACATTTGCTCCTTAATGTCATTAAAATTGTTCCAATTTTCTTTAACATGAAATATGTATAAACATGTTTGCATACATATGTTAACATAACAGTAAAGTTTTATTCCATAATTTCAAAAAAAAAAAAAAAAAAAAAAAGAGAAAACAAACATACTGAGCACAAAATGCTGGAACTTGTTTTGGGAGAACAGAAATACAAATTTTCTGACCGAGAATGTCTTCGTTAACTAAAATTTCTCTAATTATATCTTCTTTATATTGAAAATCGAAGTTGTCACTAAACTGTGATAACACATTTATTGAACAAAATGTCATGCCAGTGTCTCGAAGATTATTGCAAACAATAGAGTCTGCTGTAAATACATCCTGAAAAAAGTTAAGTAGATGAAACAGTTTTCAAAATGACAGGATGCAAACACAAATTTTAACTGTTAGATTCATTTTTAAATAAATTTAATTTATATTCATTTTCATTTCATCACTACTTTTAATTTTATCAGGAAATTAATATTTACTGATGAATATCCCAGTTGTTTAACAAGTAGTAAAAATACAGTGCACAAAAACAACAGAAGTGAGAAATCTAGACTATGAAAAAATAACATAAGCTAAGATATTTTTTACCAATCCTATTCATATTGATTTGTTCCAAGACAACATACCTTGTCTATATCAAGTTTTGAAGTATCATCTTTTTGGTGATAGAATATAAGTCTTCTGCTTTCCTTTTCATAAGCAATAACAGGACACTCATTTTTCCACTCACCATAAACGATCATCATGACATTATTCTTATCCCTCCTTATCTCCCTGAATTTTCTCAAAAGTTAACACACTGCACATATTAAGTAAACTTCCAAAAAGCATTAAAAAGTTATGTTTGAAAATATACAATCCTAACTAGCTAATCTGAGCTCTAAAACATTACGTATATGATTTACTTGAAATAACTGAGCTGAATACTGAGATCAGTTGCGGCAATAATCATCGGAGTTGTGAGTAACAAGAGATCTGAGGTTATGACAGATCGACTATGAACTTCACGAAGAGTATCACCAATACTCATACAGTTCTGACATAACACAACATTAAAGGAATCGAATAGCACTCTCCAATAACTAAAAAATATAGAAAACGAATTAGGAAATTATTAAGTATGAAATTATTAAGTGAACAAGCGCGAAGGCTGATTTCTCTAAGTAAAAAAAAAAAAAAATTAGAGAATAACTGAAAATACTACAGACAGTGAAATATAAAAGTCCATCGTTACAAGGTTATAATACAAGGAGCTAATTTTTCAAACAAATGAAAGAATCGAAGAAAAGTTGATTTTGTCCTGTATAGTGCAAACGGTCAAACAAAAGTCAGTGGGGTCATCCTAAGATTTAACAACATAGATTAAAAGCTTATGAAATAAATCTACTTAATAAATTAAGCTAGAAATATAGCGTACTTCGGTATCTAGAATTTGACAGAAGGAATTAGAGCCTAAATGTGTTGAATAGTAATGTTATACTCTATAATATGCTGAAGAGATTGTTCGGAATGGGTTGACAAAGCAATCACTACATCTCGAAGTTCAGTTCGACTTATCCATTCCAGCATATAGTGTAAAACTTCGATATTCGCTACCTTTAAACAACTCTGAAAATATTTATTCTCAACTCTCAATTGTATTCATGACTTTCTCTTCTACTAAATCAGTCTTATAATCATATTTTATTGAAAGACAAGAAAAAAAAATCGTTAAGTGCACACCTTTAATAAACAGCAAAACTTTCTAAATCAATTCAATTTTCAATTTATATCATAATTAGAAACAAAATTTTCATGAGAACCACTAACAGTACTATCAGTGCTATAAATACATGAACACTGTAGCATCTGATGAATGCAAAATAAAAAATAAATTAAATAATTACATCATGACAGAGCTCTCATATACTTGCAACATTTAGTCTTTCTTACATTACAATAATACTACAGCTTCTTTACTTTTAATAAATAATTTATTAATATCAACTATAAAATTATGTCTCAAGGTATGAAAGTTTCAACTTAGATACCTTGAACAAATATACTACAGAGAGAAAAAAAAATAAAAAAATGGAAGTGGAAAGCAATAAGTTAGTAGTATAAAAAGATGCAAATAACTTACAACTGAAGAATCGGAAGTGACAGGAAGAAACCGAGCATCGAATGTATCTGCGATAATTAAAACTTTAATGGATTCCTCCTTAACCTCATTTGTTCCTCCCTTATTCTCTTTCTTTCCCATTTTCCGGTCCTGTTTTCCTGAAAGCTTCTTCCGAAACAGGTCAATGAATTACTCCTCAACACACCCCTAACCTTAAAACCAAACTGCCAACTGCTGCAGCACCATTGCTAGTGCTACTTGACATGCATATGTTTTCCATTACACTCTTATTGACATTGGAGAACGTCTCCATCACTCTCGAAGGTCTTCACGTACGTGTCACACACACACGTCCGAGTGTTCAGAATAACAAACTGAGCGACTGAAGCGTCCACTAATTACTTTAATCCTTTGACATATGTACTGCACATATTATTGCGTTTCTTCTCGACAGAAATTTGTTGACTTAAAATGGGATTCTCACCAGGTAACACAAAGGTTTTTTACAAATATTTTTATCCAAGCTGAATACAAAATATATTTCCTTTGCTAATTTTGAAAATGTTCACTTGATACAATGGTGAATGACTTGACACCACGAAATTAGTGAAGCAAATAAAATATGAAATTTTTTGCAAAATTTCACGAAGCTGAGGTGCAAATTTTTGGACTAGATGTACTTACCCAGCAGCAGATATAATAATTTAACACAATTCAACTTCAAAAGTTAGGAATATATGCGAATGAATTCGGACGTCTAAGCTACTTTCTAATTTTCATTATATTGCTATTAACTAGAAAACATAATAAATATATACATAATCACACAAAGCAAAAATGAAAGATGCAGGACAATTACACATATATTTATGCTTAAATGAAATAAAAAATGTATTAGTAATTTACTATATGAGAACATCATTAGTGAGAATCTACATGAGACCAATTTTGGTTTTAGTACACTTTATATATAATTAGCAATTCGTGAATCGACAATGCTGTGTTACTCAATGGAAGGAGTGAAATATACAAAAGATATATGCATATTTCTTTTGAAAGACAAATAATCAAAATTTAAGACAGCAATGACCATGTAAAAGAAAAATACAATAGTGTCACGAATCGTAGAGAGAATGAATGAATTTGAAAATACAAAATCTAAAAACTCAAATAATATTATTTCGCGTATGAAAGGTCTACAACAATTTTCGAACTTTGCCCTGTTTTGCTTCAATTTGTATATTTTGAAGTTTTATGAAGGATATATTCCTTGACACTAGGCGATCTGAAATAACAATGTCAGATAGCTCCTTTATTTCGAAACCTGATTATCATTATAACATAACACCAAATCTTTCCAAAGCAATAAAAAACATAAACTGCTTAACATAGTTCTTATAACAACTCTAACTATATAACGCTTAGCAGCGCTGTCTGAAATTATTCCACTTTTCATTTTCGAAACAGTCTAACTGACATCACGATTTAGAATTTCAAAAGCTATAACGGTATGTCTTAAATAAAAAAATAACTATAAGCTAATAAAATAACTAGTAAAACTCGAGATTTTCCCTCACGATAATTAAGACGATTGCACACCATATCTATTCTGAATTCATTCAAAACTTGTAAAAAACACAATCCTTTTCATTGTCATCTTAAAATCGAACTATCTTGCATTTTTAAATTGAATCAGTAACCTTGAAAGGAAAGCAATTTCGTCTCTTGCTAATGGGCTGACTGCAGCCGGTGTAGATATCTGCTTGCATGTCGTTAAATGCTGTGCCATTCCGGTCATTTTATGTTTTAACCCCTAAAAAAAAAAAAAAAAATCATGACTAAGTAATCATGATTTCCAACTTGCGAACCTATTCAAATTCGCAGCATTATACATTTATTTTTCACGAGGAATATGCTGAATTCTTTAGTCAATAACAGTACCTGCAATGTAGATGGCCGATTTGCGCATTTCAATGCAAGTGGTGATGCAGAAATTAGTTTCTCTTCTTTCTGAACAGGTAAATTAGCATCCGAAAACCGTTTGATCACAGGACCGTTTGAATTCATCATTGGTATAACTGCCAATGTGGAAGACGAAGCAGTTGTGCTCCTGCAAAAGTAGAATTGTCAAATTATTACGTCCATAAGAGCTGAACAAGTCAAATTATTACGTCGATAATTTAAACAGAGATCTATCGTTCAGAAAGTTCCTGATTTTTCCAGATAATTTGATAGCAAACCCTAGCTGTATTCCATCCTGACTAGAAGCTGATCGAGGCATGAACGTCTGTTTCTGAGATGAACTTCCTGGAATAATGTCATTGCTGACTCTTTTACCGCTTAACCGACGAAGAAGTGACGATTTTCGAGTCTTCTTCTCCAACTGGACACGATGCTGTGGTTTTCTCAGTTTCTTTTTAGCCAATTTCCCAATTGTACGACGTGGAGCACCTTCACGAATCGAGGTTGATGAGAGAGGCGTTGTCTGTAACCATATAGTCTTTAGGAAATTGGAGAAATTCGTTTATTTAAAACTTTTAAACAAAAAATTCCCTACAAAGTGAGCTGAAATGAGTAAAGCAGTTAAGTTATATAAAAGATATGAAGTAAAAAAACATATAAAAGGGAATTAAACATTAAATTTATAGGTGCATGAAAAAGAAGTAAACAGCAAAAAAAAATTCTAAATAAAGAGAAGTTTGAAGATAAAATACTTCGATACCAGATTAATAACATAAGTATGATAAAATATATTTTCCTTTATTTTCGAAGTTCTCGCTAATTTGATTAACTCCGTACCCTTCATTTCCTTTCATGTTCTCATAAATTTATACATTATGCATAATACTGCCTCTTAGTTTCTACATTCGTATACACTACGAACTGAAAAATAACTGAATCTATCCCACACGCTTATGTATAATTAAATAAATAAAAAATGGCTAACCTTCAGAGAAAGTTCACTTCCATATGCAAGCAGATGATGCAGCAATTGTGGATGTGTAAGATTAGAGACAGGTTGAGAATGAACATGGGTTATTAGGTCATTTGGCCGAATACCAGACTTATAAGCCGGAGAGCCTTCTTCCACTTTTGTAACCAAATGTTCAATAGTGTAGTAGTCCGACTGTTCACCCAAATAGACACGTACTGAGCGAATTGTAAATCCAAAACCTTTCGGTCCTTTCCTGAAACATAGCAAAATTAAATGTGCATTTAAGACTTCATATTTTAAATCGAATTCATTACAAAGAATTATATTTGTATTTGCTGAACAATAAAATCACTTCATCATTCGTAACAAAGATTAGAAGCTTTAATAAAGTTTTTCCAAAAAAGCATAGCCATATTACGAAATAAAAATTTTAACGTTCATACTTGATGATTATTGGCGCTTTTAATTGGAAATTCTGTTCCACAACAGGAGTTGCTAATGGATTGGAGGAAATGCCATCAAATGATGATGCGCTAGAAGCTGAACCAGCAGGCGAATGTTGAGCAAGCAAGGGCGAAGACTGCTTTGGAATTTCAAGTTGCAGACTACGATCCTGTTCACTAATCACTCCATCATCTCGATTCTGAAAAGTACTGAATGTAGAAAAAAACTAACATATATACACACTATAATTGCTTTGGATTAGCACAAGTCATTTCTTAAATTCAATTCATCAGCACTTTAAGTAAGATCTACCTATAAAGCAAATAAGTACACTATTGGAATGAAAATAAATGAAAGATTCCGTTAGCAAGATAATAAAATAATTCATGTTTGACCACAAACTTACAGAATCAAAAATAGTTAGATTAGAAGTTGGTCGTAATTCAGTTACAGGTGATAGTTCTTTTTTATCACAAGAGCTAGTTCGAATTGTATCGGGTTCACAGGTTACCGAAAAACTGAAATAAAAATTTTCAGTCTAGTGCAGAAGCAAAATTAGCTATCCACATGGAGTGAGCTAAAATCTCTAAACAACTTAAACAAAAAATCCCCATTGTTAGCATGCTTACCGCGGCAAAGATGCTGCTGTATTGCCCTTCTGATTCTGATAACCTTCTGCAATTGGCACCGGTCTCGAATATTCGGGAAAACCAAATGCATCAACTGAAGAATCTGTAGATAAGCCTGTATTGAGATAGCCTGTTTCATTTGCTTCACTGCTTGATGTAGACAAATTATTTTGAAGCTGAGATGAAAAGCACCTTCTGAGTAGCACTGCCTGAAAGTAAAAAGATCAGTTGCAACACCGTAAAAAATTGCACGAAGGCAAATTAAGCGATACAATCATTTGTTTTTAGTAGTTTTATGAAATATACAAGATGAAGTTTTCATCAACAAAACTGGTCATTTTGGAGACGAATAACTTGAGTTCTATTTCAAAAAATAGGATTAAAAAAAAAAATAGAAAGTGAACTAACCGCTGGTAAAGGATAATCATATTTAGTATCCATTTTGTTTTCATAAAAATCACTGCTTAACTGACGAGAAACTGAACTCGAATCCGATCGGGTACTCTTGATACTATCAAAACTTGTGGCCTGAATAAATGAAGTTTCTAAAATCAGTTAAAAAATACAACGAAAAAAAGAAATACCTGAGTGACATTAATTGATTTAATACTAATTACTGAATACAGAGGTGATGCAATATCAAAACAATCATAGTTAAAAAGTACGACGAAAGAAAGAAATACCTGAGCCACATTAACTGATTCAGTGCTAATTACTGAATGACGAGGTGATGCAGTATCAAAAGAACCAAACATTGGAGCATTATCTTCGTCACCACTATCAACATCATGATTGTAGCTGGAAAAAGAATTAAAAATGAATAATAAAGCCTAGAATTAGTGTGTGTGTGTAACTCATGAATGAACCAATGAGGGAAATCCTGGAATGTCCCAGGCATTTTTAGAAAAATTTATATCAATCTCAGACAAGGATTCGAACTAACACTATCTTGATGTATAGATTATAAATAAGAAAATCTTTATATGTATAGTTAACTTTTCTCCATATGATCGTTACTCCAACACACAGCGTTTAGCAAATGATTGAAGAGTACTAGCAGTTATGAAGGAATGAAATTTAATGCAAAAATCTTATCTGCTTCAGTAAAATAACCTACGGATGTATACGTATTT